AATAACCGCTGCAGCATACGGGCGCCTGGCAAACCTGAGAATAGCGTTCCGATACCTTAATAAGGAATCGTTCAAGACACTGTACACTGTGTATGTTAGGCCCATACTGGAGTATGCAGCACCAGTCTGGAACCCCACACCTGGTCAAGCACGTCAAGAAGTTAGAGAAAGTACAAAGGTTTGCAACAAGGCTAGTCCCAGAGCTCAAGGGAATGTCATACGAGGAAAGGTTAAGGGAAATCGGACTGACGACACTGGAGGACAGAAGGGTCAGGGGAGACATGATAACGACATACAAGATACTGCGGGGAATAGACAAGGTGGACAGAGATAGGATGTTCCAGAGAGGGGACACAGGGACAAGGGTCACAACTGGAAGCTGAAGACTCAGACGAGTCACAGGGACGTTAGGAAGTATTTCTTCAGTCATAGAGTTGTCAGCAAGTGGAATAGCCTAGCAAGTGAAGTAGTGGAGGCAGGAACCATACATAGTTTTTTAAAAAGAGGTATGACAAAGCTCAGAAGCAGAGAGAGAGAGGATCCAGTAGCGATCAGTGAAGAGGCGGGGCCAGGAGCTGAGTCTCGACCCCTGCAACCACAATTAGGTGAGTACAATTAGGTGAGTACACACACACACACACACACACACTACCTCACACACACACTACCCCCTCACACACACTGCCCCCCACACACACACACTACCCCACACACACACTACCCCCCCACACACACACACTACCCCCCCACACACTACCCCACCCCCCACACACACACACACTACCCCCCCCACACACATACACACTACCCCACCCCCACACACACACTACCCCACACACACACTACCCCACACACACACTACCCCCCCACACACACACACAGATACTACCCCACCCTCCCACACACACACACACACACACACACACACACACTACCCCCCACACACACACACTACCCCCCCACACACACACTACCCCACCCTCCCACACACACACTACCCCCCCACACACACACACTACCCCCCCCCCACACACACACACACTACCCCACCCTCCCACACACACACCACACACTACCCCCCCCCACACACACACTACCCCCCACACACACACACTACCCCACCACACACACACACTACCCCACCCCCCCACACACACACAACACACACTACCCCCCCCACACACACACACTACCCCCCCACACACACACACACTACCCCACCCCCCCACACACACAACACACACTACCCCCACCCCCCCACACACACAACACACACTACCCCCCACACACACACACTACCCCACCCCCCCACACACACAACACACACTACCCCCCACACACACACACTACCCCCACCCCCCACACACACAACACACACTACCCCCCACACACACACACACACTACCCCACCACACACACACACTACCCCACCCCCCCACACACACAACACACACTACCCCCCACACACACACACACTACCCCCCCCACACACACACACTACCCCCCACACACACACACTACCCCACCACACACACACACACTACCCCACCACACACACACACTACCCCACCCCCCCACACACACACTACCCACCACACACACACACTACCCCACCACACACACACACACTACCCCACCACACACACACACTACCCCACCCCCCACACACACACACACAAACACACTACCCCCCCCACACACACACACACACACACTACCCCACCACACACACACACTACCCCACCCCCCCACACACACACACAACACACACTACCCCCCCCCACACACACACACACTACCCCACCACACACACACACACTACCCCACCCCCCACACACACACACAACACACACTACCCCCCACACACACACACACACACTACCCCACCACACACACACACTACCCCACCCCCCCACACACACACACAACACACACTACCCCCCACACACAAACATCCTTCACTACCTGATACTCTTAGCTTCTAACAAGACACTTCCCTAACCAAACATATATAAACGAAAAAGCCTGACAAATATCGTTCAGAAACGGAACAACGTAGAGCAAATATTTCCCACACTAAAACCCTATGATTATCTCTCCTGGAAAATTTTATTTGGTATCCCCACTTGGGAAATAACATATGGTATCCATACTTGGGATACCAATTGGTATCCCTTCTGGGATACACTAACAAATTATTTATAATTAGTGACGAGGAAGATATATCAGAATGCATGGTATGTCAGGGATTGCAGTTTTGAGGAAGATGCTGTTTTCCAGTAGTGAGAGACAAGGTAGCAGCAGTTTCCAGTAGTGAGAGACAAGGTAGCAGCAGTTTCCAGTAGTGAGAGACAAGGTAGCAGCAGTTTCCAGCAGTGAGAGACAAGGTAGCAGCAGTTTCCAGCAGTGAGAGACAAGGTAGCAGCAGTTTCCAGTAGTGAGAGACAAGGTAGCAGCAGTTTCCAGTACATAAGAACATAAGAACATAAGAACGAAGGAACACTGCAGAAGGCCTACTGGCCCATGCGAGGCAGGTCCAAGTCCCTACCGGCTTAAGCCAATGCACCCAACCTAGTCAGGTCAGGTCACATTGACTCAAGGGAGGAACACGGCAACCGACCCGTTAGCACAAGCTATCAGGTCTAACTCACACCCACCCACATCTACTCATGTATTTATCCAACCTATTTTTAAAGCTACACAACGTTCTGGCCTCTATAACGGTACTTGGGAGTTTGTTCCACTCATCCACAACTCTATTACCAAACCAGTACTTTCCTATATCCCTCCTGAATCTGAATTTTCCAACTTAAAACCATTGCTGCGAGTCCTGTCTAGGCTAGATATTATCAGCACACTATTTACATCCCCTTTATTTATTTGTCTTCCACTTATAAACCTCAATCATATCCCCCCTAATTCTACGTCTTTCTAGAGAGTGCAGTTTTAGGGCCCTTAGTCTATCCTCATAGGGGAAGGTTTCTGATACATGGGATCATCTTTGTCATCCTCCTTTGTACATTTTCCAGAGAATTTATATCCATTCTGTAATACGTGACCAAAACTGTGCAGCATAATCTAAATGAGGCCTAACCAAGGATGTATAGAGTTGAAGAACAACCTGAGGACTCCTATTATTTATGCTTCTTTGATATGAAGCCAAGGATTCTATTAGCTTTATTGCGAACACTTATGCACTGTTGTCTTGGTTTCAGATTACTGCTAACCAAACTCCTAAATCTTTTTCGCAATCCGTAATATTAAGATCTACATTATTTAGTTTATATGTGGCATGGTTATTGTCCTGTCCAACATTTAGAACTTTGCATTTGTCTATATTAAACTGCATCTGCCACTTCTCCGACCACTGCATCAGTCTATTCAAATCTTCCTGGAGTGCTCGAATGTCCTCGTCAGAATGAATTCGACGGCCTATTTTGGTGTCATCGGCAAACTTGCCGATGTCGCTCTTTATGCCCTCATCTATGTCGTTTATGTAGATTGTGAACAGCAGGGGGCCCAACACTGACCCCTGTGGAACACCGCTCGTGACGCTTCCCCACTCTGATTTCTCCCCATTTATGCAAACTCTCTGCTGCCTATTTGTCAACCATGCCTCTATCCAGGAAAAAATTTCTCCTCCTATTCCATGTGCTTTAATTTTCCTCAATAGTCTCTGATGTGGGACCCTGTCAAAAGCCTTACTGAAGTCCATATACACAATATCATATTCGTTACCATGATCTACCTCCTCAAATACCTTAGTGAAAAAAGTTAATAAATTCGTAAGGCAGGAACGTCCCTTTGTAAAACCATGCTGAGATTCGTTGATTAATTTATGCTTTTCAAGGTGGCTACGAACTGCCTCGGCAATTATTGATTCCATAAATTTTCCCACTATGGAGGTTAGGCTTATTGGTCTATAGTAGTGAGAGACAAGGTAGCAGCAGTTTCCAGTAGTGAGAGACAAGGTAGCAGCAGTTTCCAGTAGTGAGAGACAAGGTAGCAGCAGTTTCCAGCAGTGAGAGACAAGGTAGCAGCAGTTTCCAGCAGTGAGAGACAAGGTAGCAGCAGTTTCCAGTAGTGAGAGACAAGGTAGCAGCAGTTTCCAGTAGTGAGAGACAAGGTAGCAGCAGTTTCCAGTAGTGAGAGACAAGGTAGCAGCAGTTTCCAGTAGTGAGAGACAAGGTAGCAGCAGTTTCCAGTAGTGAGAGACAAGGTAGCAGTAGTTTCCAGTAGTGAGAGACAAGGTAGCAGCAGTTTCCAGCAGTGAGATACTATGTAGCAGCAGTTTCCAGTAGTGAGAGACAAGGTAGCAGCAGTTTCCAGTAGTGAGAGACAAGGTAGCAGCAGTTTCCAGCAGTGAGATACTATGTAGTAGCAGTTTCCAGCAGTGAGAGACAAGGTAGCAGCAGTTTCCAGCAGTGAAGCACAATGTAGCAGCAGTTTCCAGCAGTGAGAGACAAGGTAGCAGCAGTTTCCAGCAATGAGACACAATGTAGCAGCAGTTTCCAGCAGTGAGAGACAAGGTAGCAGCAGCAGTTTCCAGCAGTGAGAGACAAGGTAGCAGCAGTTTCCAGCAGTGATACACAATGTAGCAGCAGTTTCAGCTACAAGATATGTAGACTGACAGATGTGTATATCTCTGCACATCTGTGTAATTATTCTGGAAGGGTTACGTGCAGCCTTAATGACCTTAGTGTGGCTGATGGACTTTAAACCCCATCTACCAAACAGTTAAAAAAACAGGTGATTCTCATTTCTACAGCAAATTGACTGCCTAAATACTACATGAGGTTACCAGACTACGGTATTCAACCCTATTCTACCCGCAGCAATGGTAGTGGAATACTTACTGCGTGAACTTAGCTAGTATAAACCCTATATAAACCTTTGAATTGTTAAACCAGCACTTTCTCGCTCTTGGCTTTATACACACACTTCTCGTACAGAGTCAATAAACCAATGTGTCTAGGTAGGTGGAGGCGAGGCTCAGGAGAGCAGGGTAGAGCCTAGAGCTTATATAAGGGAGATCAGTGGGGCCGCCTGGACCAGACTTTCTTGTGACTTAGTGTAGTGTACACCTGCCAGACTCTGTCCTCACGATATGAAGGTAATGTATACCTTCCTAGCACCTCTCTTATTATTACTGCTAACTAGTGTGACGTTGTTTCAGGCACTAGTGTAACACCTGCACTCACAAGTGTAACACCTTCAGTCACAAGTGTAACACCTTCACTCACAAGTGTAACACCTTCACTCACAAGTGTAACACCTTCATTCACAAGTGTAACACCTTCACTCACAAGTGTAACACCTTCACTCACGAGTGTAACACCTTCACTCACAAGTGTAACACCTTCACTCACAAGTGTAACACCTTCACTCACAAGTGTAACACCTTCACTCACAAGTGTAACACCTTCACTCACAAGTGTAACACCTTCACTCACGAGTGTAACACCTTCAGTCACGAGTGTAACACCTTCAGTCACAAGTGTAACACCTTCACTCACAAGTGTAACACCTTCACCCACAAGTGTAACACCTTCACCCACAAGTGTAACACCTTCACTCACAAGTGTAGCACCTGCACTCACAAGTGTAACACCTTCACTCACAAGTGTAACACCTTCACTCACAAGTGTAACACCTTCACTCACAAGTGTAACACCTTCACTCACAAGTGTAACACCTTCACTCACGAGTGTAACACCTTCACTCACGAGTGTAACACCTTCAGTCACAAGTGTAACACCTTCACTCACAAGTGTAACACCTTCACTCACAAGTGTAACACCTTCACTCACAAGTGTAACACCTTCACTCACAAGTGTAACACCTTCACTCACGAGTGTAACACCTTCACTCACAAGTGTAACACCTTCACTCACAAGTGTAACACCTTCACTCACAAGTGTAACACCTTCACTCACAAGTGTAACACCTTCACTCACAAGTGTAACACCTTCACTCACAAGTGTAACACCTTCACTCACAAGTGTAACACCTTCACTCACGAGTGTAACACCTTCAGTCACAAGTGTAACACCTTCACTCACAAGTGTAACACCTTCACTCACAAGTGTAACACCTTCACTCACAAGTGTAACACCTTCACTCACGAGTGTAACACCTTCACTCACAAGTGTAACACCTTCACTCACGAGTGTAACACCTTCACTCACAAGTGTAACACCTTCACTCACAAGTGTAACACCTTCACTCACAAGTGTAACACCTTCACTCACAAGTGTAACACCTTCACAAGTGTAACACCTTCACTCACAAGTGTAACACCTTCACTCACAAGTGTAACACCTTCACTCACAAGTGTAACACCTTCACAAGTGTAACACCTTCACTCACAAGTGTAACACCTTCACAAGTGTAACACCTTCACTCACAAGTGTAACACCTTCACAAGTGTAACACCTTCACTCACAAGTGTAACACCTTCACTCACAAGTGTAACACCTTCACAAGTGTAACACCTTCACTCACAAGTGTAACACCTTCACTCACAAGTGTAACACCTTCACTCACAAGTGTAACACCTTCACTCACAAGTGTAACATCATACATAAGATGAGTACCGACCGGGTCTTCAGGTCATTAAGACCTTGATCAGATGATTCTTTAAGTCATTAAGACCTTGAACAGGTGTTTTTTTCCTGACAGATACCGTAACAAGATGAGTAAACATCTGTACCTCATTACTTGCATGTGTTTTATCATTAACGAAGACAGATGTACGTATTTTATTAAATGAGTTATGAAATTAAAATCATCCCATGTGGATTTAATAAATTTTTCACTAAAATAACAAATAAAAATTGAAAATGATAGTATTTGGCTAAAATATTTGCCCTCGAAATTAAGTAAAAAATTCTTAATTTTCACAATGTTAAATCAAGTTAAATAATCTTTGGGAGTAAGACACATATGTATAATAAAGGCTTTTTGCAAGATGTTTCTCCATTGGTGTCTATCAGATCCAAATACCATCAGTCTACCTGACGGTTGAACAATCAGATACTCGCGCAACAAGTGTCTGATTCTTCGACTTGTCGGTATTTTAGAGCATTTATCATACTTAAAGGTTGTTCCGGGGGTCAACGCCCCCGTCACTCGGTCCTTGACTACACCTCCCGGTGAATCAGTTCAGTAAATGTCTTGATTCCATAGTCTCTCCGTATTAAAATACTTGTATAGAACAAAGGCACAATACCGTAACTGGAACAATACACAAATAACACGTACGTAGGAGAAAGAAATAATGACGATGTTTCGGTTCGACTTGGACCGAATTATTTGTGTATCAAATGGTATACAATACCGACAGGCTGATAAGACACATGCGCAGCAGTCAGGTATCTTTATTTCGAAACGTTTCGCTTACACAGTAGGTTTCTTCAGTCTAGCACGGAAAAGCTTGAAGACGCAGTAGATATGTGAAGACGATGTAATCAGTCCATCACTCATAAAGACGTAGTTTTGAGGTGGTCAGTCCCTCAATCTGGAGTTTTGTTCCATTGTTCCAGACTCTAGAGCAAAACTCTTCTCCAGGCTGAGGGACTGACCACTTCAAAACTGAGTCTTCAAAGCCGAGAGGCTGATTACCTCAAGCTCCTCCTGTTCTTCACCATTCTCCTTTGTATGGACTGATGAAGCCACTGTGTGGCGAAACGTTTCCTCATTAAAGATACCCAAATGTTGCACATGTGTTTAATTTATCAACATGTGTCTTACCATTCTACACATGTTCTGTAGATAAAACATCACAAACCTCCTGTTCCACAACTATTTAGTCACACTGTACCTGCCCAGGAGCCCACCACTACCTCCTGTTCCACAACTATTTAGTCACACTGTACCTGCCCAGGAGCCCACCACTACCTCCTGTTCCACAACTATTTAGTCACACTGTACCTGCCCAGGAGCCCACCACTACCTCCTGTTCCACAACTATTTAGTCACACTGTACCTGCCCAGGAGCCCACCACTACCTCCTGTTCCACAACTATTTAGTCACACTGTACCTGCCCAGGAGCCCACCACTACCTCCTGTTCCACAACTATTTAGTCACACTGTACCTGCCCAGGAGCCCACCACTACCTCCTGTTCCACAACTATTTAGTCACACTGTACCTGCCCAGGAGCCCACCACTACCTCCTGTTCCACAACTATTTGGCCACACTGTACCTGCCCAGGAGCCCACCACTACCTCCTGTTCCACAACTATTTAGCCACACTGTACCTGCCCAGAAGCCCACAACTACCTACTGTTCCAACTATTTAGTCACACTGTACCTGCCCAGAAGCCCACCACTACCTACTGTTCCAACTATTTAGCCACACTGTACCTGCCCAGAAGCCCACCACTACCTACTGTTCCAACTATTTAGTCACACTGTACCTGCCCAGAAGCCCACCACTACCTCCTGTTCCATAACTATTTAGCCACACTGTACCTGTCCAGAAGCCCACCACTACATCCTGTTCCACAACTATTTAGCCACACTGTACCTGTCCAGAAGCCTACCACTACATCCTGTTCCACAACTATTTAGCCACACTGTACCTGCCCAGAAGCCCACCACTACCTCCTGTTCCAACTATTTAGCCACACTGTACCTGCCCAGAAGCCCACCACTACCTTCTGTTCCACAGCTATTTAGCCACACTGTACCTGCCCAGGAGCCCACCGCTACCTCCTGTTCCACAACTATTTAGCCACACCGTACCTGCCCAGAAGCCCACCACTACCTCCTGTTCCACAACTATTTAGCCACACTGTACCTGCCCAGAAGCCCACCACTACCTCCTGTTCCACAACTATTTAGCCACACTGTACCTGCCCAGAAGCCCACCACTACCTCCTGTTCCACAACTATTTAGCCACACTGTACCTGCCCAGAAGCCCACCACTACCTACTGTTCCACAACTATTTAGTCACACTGTACCTGCCCAGAAGCCCACCACTACCTCCTGTTCCACAACTATTTAGTCACACTGTACCTGCCCAGGAGCCCATCACTACCTACTGTTCCACAACTATTTAGTCACACTGTACCTGCCCAGGAGCCCACCACTACCTCCTGTTCCACAACTATTTAGTCACACTGTACCTGCCCAGGAGCCCACCACTACCTACTGTTCCACAACTATTTGGCCACACTGTACCTGCCCAGAAGCCCACCACTACTCCTGTTCCACAACTATTTAGCCACACTGTACCTGCCCAGAAGCCCACCACTACCTCCTGTTCCACAACTATTTAGCCACACTGTACCTGCCCAGAAGCCCACCACTACCTCCTGTTCCACAACTATTTAGCCACACTGTACCTGCCCAGAAGCCCACCACTACCTACTGTTCCAACTATTTAGTCACACTGTACCTGCCCAGAAGCCCACCACTACCTCCTGTTTCATAACTATTTAGCCACACTGTACCTGTCCAGAAGCCCACTACTACATCCTGTTCCACAACTATTTAGCCACACTGTACCTGCCCAGAAGCCCACCACTACCTCCTGTTCCACAACTATTTAGTCACACTGTACCTGCCCAGGAGCCCACCACTACCTACTGTTCCAACTATTTAGTCACACTGTACCTGCCCAGAAGCCCACCACTACCTCCTGTTCCATAACTATTTAGCCACACTGTACCTGTCCAGAAGCCCACCACTACATCCTGTTCCACAACTATTTAGTCACACTGTACCTGCCCAGAAGCCCACCACTACCTCCTGTTCCACAACTATTTAGCCACACTGTACCTGCCCAGAAGCCCACCACTACCTCCTGTTTCATAACTATTTAGCCACACTGTACCTGTCCAGAAGCCCACTACTACATCCTGTTCCACAACTATTTAGCCACACTGTGCCTGCCCAGAAGCCCACCACTACCTCCTGTTCCACAACTATTTAGTCACACTGTACCTGCCCAGGAGCCCACCACTACCTACTGTTCCAACTATTTAGTCACACTGTACCTGCCCAGAAGCCCACCACTACCTCCTGTTCCATAACTATTTAGCCACACTGTACCTGTCCAGAAGCCCACCACTACATCCTGTTCCACAACTATTTAGTCACACT